ACTAATCTTTTATAAAATTCACTTCCGTCAAGGAATAGCGACTCCAGCCATAAGTACTTGAACTAATAGTCCTATAATTCACGCACAATTATATATATATATATCTTGATCTATTTTTATATGAAAAGGTCAGCCGTTTTTGAACGGCATGGTACATGCGATAAATATACAACTCGGGCGTACAAAAATTTAGCAGTAAGAAAAATAGAAAAATAGAAAATATGACAAATAGTTTAAAGAGGAAATAAAAAATAAAAAGGGAATTGCAGAATAATATAATATAGTACAATTCGAAGTAACTGTTATTATATATTAGTCGGATGGCAAAGTCGAGATTTCACACTTCATGATGTAAACTTTTTAAATAATATCATAAATGACATTATCTAATCTTTTTTTAAAGATTGCTAGGGATGGCGCACAAGTTATACCGTTCGGTAATTTATTCCAGTAATTAATTAAAAAATAAAGAAATCATGAGTTCTTAATTTAGTTATATACATAGGTTTTAGTAATTTTACCCCATTAGTTTTTGTTGGATTTAAATTTAGCCTAAAATTATAACATTTTGAACAATCTAATTTAACATAACCATATAGAATCTTATAAGTATAAATTAAGTCTCGTTTAATACTACGAACTGACAAAATTGTAATTGGGAAAGAGGCGTCATATAAAATATTTTTGGAGTCCAATTATTTTACTTGATTTACGATATCTCGGGGTAACACGTAATATTATAGTCGTGTATATAGAAGTGGTTGAACGAACGCTTTATACATTTTGATAAGAAAGCCTTCAGTTTAATTCTTAAACGAACGAAAAATAAAATTTAATATGATATGCTTTAATATGTTCGTTCGCAAGCTGGAGTAATTACTCAAGACATGTCTAGAGAATGACAAATTATCTATTTGAACTTCGCACTCTGCACGCGATTTTGGCCATAGTTGCTGCGAACGTCAGAACGCTTATGGACGTTGCAAGCCAAGCGATTATTATCCACGCTCTTTCTGAATATGTCGCCTGGCTGTCGGAACTGCGTTTCATTTTGGATCTCGTGCAACTATTAAGCCTCTCCAGATACACTAGCTATAGTGTGATGCTTCGGATAAACTCAGGATGAAACGGCGTGACGATTGTAATGTCTAAAAAAGCTCGATGTGCTCTGATTAAGTAGTTCATCAGTATATATTCTCTAGGGTACTGTATCCGCAGATGACACGACAATAAGTTCTTTGCGGAACTTTTCTATTAGCAACATCTCTACCAAAAGATAGTCATAATTGTTGGGAGATTGGTATGCGTAAATCACGACACCGCCACGATGAACTCTGTGGTTGGCAAATATGACTTCGAGATCTTGTGCGCCATTGGAGAATGCCTTCGTTTTACTGAGCATGAGCTTTTTATTATTGATATATGCTTCCGACAGAAGACATTCGGAGAATCTAATCACGTGAAACTCCCCAGACAAACAAGTTGGATGTATTTTAATCCGTTGCCGTTGGATGAGTTCTGTGCTATATAATCCTTCCTATCGCAACTGAAATTGGTTATCTTCCAGGATCTGATCATGTTTCCAGCCAAGATCCGCATAAAGATCCACACAAATCGCAAGAAATAGATCTCCCAAGATCCTTCAACTATCTCAAACTAAAAGATTCGGAAACGTCAGTATTTTAAATCAAATTATTGAAGCGTATCAGTGAAATGAACATCAATGACATCAATGACATCTCTGGAATGGCGGATAAATACTGGTCCCAACTAAAGGCATGTCTCTGAAAGTCATTTTTTCACTAGTGTATACAAGTACGAAATGCTTTAGTTGGGTGTCGGAAGCAACCGTCCAACTGTCTCAAAAATCTACAAAGGCGCGAATGTCAGGAGATCTTGACTATCGGACGCTTCGAAAAATTACAGTGGCAGCAAAACGGAGGAACACAAATTGCTAATGGAGCGATATAGTTTTGAGAATGGAGACAGCGGCTCGATTAGGCGATAATAGTAAAATTAAGGCAATTGGTGATCGCTTCATAAGGTTCTTTGAGGCTAAATTTAACTACGATGCGCCATCTTTTTTTGCGGATATAGCTGAACCATATATTTGCAACTGTGAATTGCCAGTAGAATAGGAAACAATCTCTGTCATCCAGGAGCTTAAGACCAATAAAATGACGCCCGGAAAAGATGGTCTTTGCGCCGAACTCTTCAACTGTTGTCCATTGTCCTTCAAATATACTCTAAGTATGGAAGAAAGAAACAGTACCAGATAATTGGAGCAAAGTAATTCTGCTCACAGTTCTTAAGAAAGGTGACAGAACATACTGTGACAATTATGGAGGAATCAGATATCTCTGGGAAATTTTTTGCTTTCTTTTTACCAAACAGACTTATGACAATACTGGATAGCGCCACAATCAAACTAGATTTAGATCGGGGTACGATTGTGTTTACCAGATATTTACGATAAGAAGAACATTATCACGTCAAATATTTGGAACCCACTATTACATCAACTTCATCAACTTTGCAGTTGCCTTCGATTTAGTTGATAGAACGGTTTGGACAGTAATGGAATGCGACAATTCCAGAGAAGATCATTCGACTCATAAAGGCATTTTATCACATTGGCGCAGGTCTATGTATATAAAAAACTGGCAAATTTGAAAGAAGAACTGGTGCAAATCAGTCCAGATTATAGTATCACAAACCTTGAATACGCCGGTGACGTATCTTTTTTGCTGATAGTTGCGAGAAATGCAAATAATGGTAAATGTCGACAAGTGTCAGCAGGGAGAATCTCAGGATGAATGTAAATAAAACGAAAGCCTTTTTGTCTCAATATACAAGAAGCTGATAAAATACCTATTTTTATATAAATACGTGCTGTCACGAAATCAAAACGAAAGTCCAAGACCATATAGCTGAAATTCGCTTGATTTACTATATATAAATTTTTACTATATCGCTGCGAGACATCGCCAAAAAAAGTGGAGTTATTTTCTTACTTTGACTACTCGTGTTTAAGATATATTTTACTAGTTCGACGGATAAAATTTCTCATGAATGCATCTTACTTCACTCAAATACCACCTGTATTAATACTACCATCATAGAGCGCCGCCTTCGCTGGCTACGGCACGTTTTTTGTCACGCACTGCAAAAAATTGGCCTACATTTCGTGTGATGGATGGCGTCAAAAGCGAAGTGAGCTTATCAAGACCTGGGGTGATAAAGTCAAGAAAGATTTTGAATATATAAATGGACAAGTAATATATGGACTTAGACGATGAAAAAAAGATTGGCTTCTATTACAGTTAGCGATGATGTCAGACTGAATAGCTTGTAAATTCTTGCCCTCATAGCTAGCGAAGCCAGCATAACCAGCAATGTTAATAGCTGCTGGAAAAAGAATTTTTTCGCAAAATCTTTAAATTTAAGTTGAATGCAAATTTCACTGGAAACAGAACTGGGTAGCTTCTGTGTAATTTAAATTTAATGATACAATGTAAAAAAAAATTCAATCCATACAATGCAAAAATATTAACTAGTAGTGGGAAGGAATTTCAAAACCTATAGTTATTTTATTTTCTACAATTTCTGGTTTGGCTGAAGTTTTTTGTTAAAAAGTTATAAATGGACAGAAATGTAAGTAATACGGCATTCGGATTTGACTTTCAGTAAGAAGGTCTTACCAAGAAGTAAAAGTCAAAGTATGGTGTTGAATATGCTACACTTGAACACTACACTTGACGTTACAATTATACTACAATTACACTAAATCTTTTAAAAATGAGAAATATTGATCAAATTGTCCTGGTTTCTTTTCATTTTATTCATTCCTTTTTTAACAGATCATCGTGTATGAAAAAATCTCAAGAAACAGTCAAGGATCAGTTACCGATGGTGCAAGACGATCATCACCGGTTGCCAAAGCTGCACCAAACTCAAGGAAATCGCTTGCTTAAAATCTATTATTACCATGCTCCTAATCATCTTTCTTTTTTCATTGATCACCTATATTCGTAAAATTTTATTTCATCTTAAATTGTTCCTTTAATTCCTTTTGTTTTTCATTTATTTACATGCAGTTTCGAATAATCTGAAAACAAGGATTATATATTTTATTTTTGTCAAAAGTTTTTGCCTACAAGGAACTCTTTTTCTGATTCTGAATTGCAATAAAAATTATTTCAAAGGCGGTTTCTCCAAATGATCCTTAAAATAACCATACAGTACTTATAACTTAGCTTTAAATCCTTTTATTGCAAATTTTTTCTGCAACTTTCAGTTATTAACCTTCAATTCAGACTAGTAGAAAAGGAAACCCTTTCTTATTATCCTTTTACGGGAAAAGCTATATATTTCCATTTTTTTGAATTACGCAAATTTCATTACGATTTAAAAGGCAATCCATAATTAGTTTAGTGTTAAATGTCAAAATAAAGCCATAATAAAAAGTTATAATAGTCATATTTTCTAAAGAATTTAACCCTAATGTTGAAAAAATAAGAAAGCTTTATGAAAAGATTTTAATTACGATTAAAAACGATGTGCAGTATTCGTCAGAAAGAAATAAAAGGCAGAGCAAGCAGCAAAGGCAGTTTGAAATTAAAAATAAAAAAAAAAAAAAACAAAGATATCACAAAAAATGACACGGAGAAATATGAAATGAACAATTTTCATTGGTGATTTCTGGCAGATTGAAAATTTTTCGTCAAGTTATGCGATAAAATGGAGAAAAGTGGCTATTCCGTTTTTTTGTGACATTTCTTAATAAGAAGAAACAAATTAGATTGAAAATTTTCGAATTTTTTTTCCTATATTGCCAATTTTCATTGTAAATTTCGATATGAGATAAGAAATTCGAAAAAAAACAAAGATATAAATGATGCCTAACTATGGCAGTAACGGTAATATAAACCGATATCATTAAATATTTCTTCACATCAAATATATTATATTTGAATTCTGAAATTTCCCGATAAATTTTTTTAGCCATGAAATGGAGGTTCTAGGGATTTTATGCAAACTTGGCATCGTGATACTCGTGTACGTAAACTTCCGGATTTTAGAGTTTCACTTTCAGGAATCTGCAAAGAATTAATTTCGCAATATTCGCTTATATTTAGTTATATTTAGTGATAATTGGAATCCGCTTAATATTTAAATTTAAATTTAAAAATTTAAATGGAAAAAGTATAAATTTTGTTAATTTTGTTATAATTATATAACATTGAATTTTATTTATAAAAAATCCATTTTTAATGGAAATAAATTTCTCGAGGGGATCGTGAACAAATAATTAATTATATAAGAGAATACGAAAAAGATGGACGTTATATTGTCGAAAATTTGACCACATAAAAGGACTACGGTTAATCAGCTTTCATTATTAATAAGGGAAATGTTTAAAGAACTTTGCTTACTCGAAATTGTTGATCATCTTCGATTGTTGTTAACCAAAAGCTAAATTTATTTGCAAAATAATGACAGCTACCACGAGCACCGTTACATTCAATGAATGGCGTAGCTCGGAAATCTTCCAGACATGAACCAGGAGAACTAAAAAATATTGATTTTAAAAATTATTTAGTCAAATTTAAATACTATATACATATTTTAAGCGTTTAATCAAAGCGATAAAAATTTTTCTTCTTCTTCTAACAGCTCTCATCATTACTGATTAGATTGGCTTCGCTGGCTACGAGGGCAAGATGTTTCCAATCTCTTTGGTCCGTTGCTGACCATCGTCCAAGTCCATATATCGGTGGTTCCTTCAAAAACTTTCTGGCCTGTATCAGTTTAGGCTTTGATTGGCCCTCCCCGCTTTCGAAGCCAATCATTACAGGGTTTGGCGAAATATGTATCACTTCTGTGATGGACGATGCAGAACGTGCCCTAACCAGCGAAGACGAGGGATCTGTGATAACATTATTAATACAAGTGATATTTGAGTCCAAGATGGATAAAATCATGTACGACTTTATCCGCTCGACGGACCCGTAAATAAATCTTAGATATGAGTGGTCAAAGTGAGAATTTCTTAATATCCACCATTCTTATTGGACTTTCGCATTATTTATATTGATCCTGAGATTCTCGCTGCTGTTATCGACACATTGTTCAGCATTATTTGCATTTCGTAACTGTCAGCAAAAAGAATATGTCACCCGAGTATTCGAGATCTGTGGTATGTGGTAACGTGACCTGGACTGATTTGCACACGTCTTGAATGCCAACAAAAGGTGTTCATTATTTAATTTATCTTACAACTGAATATTTGAAAGGATGGAGCTTTAATGGACACCAGTTCTTATTTCGAGTCTGTCACTTCTTTACACAGTGTCGATTTAAGCTAATAAAATGCCTTTCTAAGTCGAATGATCTTCTCTGGAATTGTCGCGTTCCATCATTGTCCAAACCGTTCTATCGATTGAATCGAATGTAGCCGCAAAGTCGTTGAAACACGCAATGGTGGGTTGTAAACATTCGAAGCTCCAACACCATTCTTAATGTGAATATCTGGTTAGCACAACCATGCGCCGGCCGGCCTGAATCCAGTTTTATTACTGCGCATCCTGCTCTCCCATACTATCATAAGCATAATAAAAGGGAAGTAAAAATTTGAGACATTTAATAGGCTGATTCTTTGATGCCTTTCCTGGGAATTACGAGCACAATTAGTTCGAGTTCGAGTTATCTGGTAGTATTTCTTCTTTTCCTACCAGGAAGTACATTTGTTGAAGGAAGGTAAGTTTAAATTATGAAGAAAGATGGATAGCATTTGAAGAGAGAAAATCTCGGAGACCATCTTTTCTCAGAGTTTTATTGGCCTTAAGCCTATGGATAATGGAGATTAATTCTTTTTGTCTTGACGGCTCGTAATTACAAGCATATGGTTCGAACGTAACAGCTAACAGCTATATCCGAGGCAACAGATGGCACATTATGATTAAATTTGACCTCAAAGAATTCCTTCCATCTTATGAGGCGGTCTTTAATATTCTTAACAGTACACCACTGCTATCCTTTAGCACTTAACTGATAGTTCCCGAATTATAGTTGTTTTATGAAGAAGAAGACGGTTTCTTATTATCGCCTAATCAAGTAGCCGTCTCCATTTTCAAAACAATGTCGCTCTAATAATGATTTCTGTCCCTCCTTGCTGCTATCGTTGCAATTCTTCAAAGCATCCGATAGTCAGGATCTCCTGACATTCACGCTTATTTCGGTCAGTTCGACAGTTGTTTCTGATACCGCATTTCCTATTAGTATGGAACTAACTTTGGGAGGCATTCTTTTATTTCCAACCAGTATTCATTTGTCGTTCCAGAAAAATACCATTAATACCATTATTAATACCATTGAGATGGTTCAATATTTTTGAAATGCACTCTCCCCTAATTTTTTAGTTAGAGATAGTTGAAAGAACTTGGAAGATGTTATTTCTTGCAAGTCGTTAATTTTATGCGGATCTTGGCTCAGACCATAACATGGTCTAATCCGAAGATTGTCCGTTTTAACGCTGTGATAGGAACTATCTAGCACAGAACTCTTCCAACCGCGACTGATCAAGAAGAAATAATCATATAAACAATATGGCTGGAATATTGGTTATCCAGCGATTAGATGTTTCTTACGATGCAGGAAGCAAGTATGAGTGGCAAAAAGTTCATGCTCTTCAGCATAACAAAAAAATTCCCCATTAGCGCACGGGTCTCCGATGCCATATTTAAAAATTATCGAGTTCATCGTAGCGTCATTATTACAAACGCACACATTCCAGTCTCCCACGATTATTTTTCGGTAAAGATTTTTTTAGCAGTTAAAGTTATGCATAGAACTTATAAGGGTTATCTGCCGAAAAGTTGGAGCATAGATAATGATAACCGAGAAATTGAAGAATTTAAGTTTAGAGCGGGTATAGGCCATACTTGTTATCGCTTACCGGTTTCCACTCAATCAAGATGGAATGAGCCTTTTCACACATAACAATCGCTACAACATTTCGCTCTGAGTTATCTGAAGTACCACAGTAATATAACCAGCACATGTGCTCCGAACCAGGATTAATAATCACTCGAGACCCGAAATAAGGAAGACAGACCTTCGACAAGCTAGCGATATACACAATATTTAGAAAAGGTGTGCACAGTGATCGCCTGGCTTGCAACTTCCATAAGCGTTCTGACGTTTCACGCTGATACGGTTAACACCTCGCAGCGCGTGCAGAGAGTCGTTCCGCTTGATAGATTTCGAGCAATTATCCTGGCTTGCGAGCATATTTTATTTGTAAAAATTTTATTGCAAATTAAATTGGAATCAGTTAAAAAATATTTTTATTTAAATATTTTTAGGGCAATTACCTATCAAAAAATAACTAATTAGAATTAACTAATTAGAATTAACACTTGTTGGTATGGTAATCAATAATTGTCCATAAATATGCATATAAACAGAATAAATCTACCTTAGCGATTGTCCACCTCCTTCAGCTCCTGCACCAGTATGCATAGCAAATGAATAACCGATCCAGAGTGAATTCCAGCCCTGTGGACAATTTGGAATTTGGATTGTTTGTGAATGCACGGCAATAACATTAGCTGGTGCTTCACATACCGAACATCTAGAAATTAATATTATTGTTCATTAAGTGGATGATAACAATTAGCGGATTGAAATGAAAAGTGCACAAGGACCTCCGGCAAAATAGAAGGGGAAAACGCAAGGAAATTGAAAAAATGAAATTGAAACTAGTTTTTACGCTTTGTTTACGAAATATTGTTCTAACACGCTAAATATTTTTGCTTTAACTGCCTCCATTTTTATTATGATGGAGTTCCTTCACTAAATAATCATAGAGAATGGAAATACGCATAAATGATCAACATTACTCAGTTAAACAACCTTGAATATATAAAAAAGATATAAAAAAAACCTTGAAATATGTGGCTCGATTTCTGCTTCATTAACTGGCATCATTGGAATTGGTGCCGTTGTTGATAACCAGTATGATTTATCATTTCTTGATGCATAATTACAAACGTTATTGAAGTCACAAAATAAGAATGGCATTGTTGAGAACCTTGTTAAACATGAACCAGCATGACCTCAAATTTACTGCATTGAAACATGTTCAAAATTTCTGAAGTATCTAAATTATTCTCAATTAAATATGAAAAAATATGAAAAACGTACCAAGATCCTGGTTATGAGATTTTTCATTGCCCTCGATATATAATAGAGAATATCCATCCCATAGTTTCTGTTGGCCAGGAGGGCACTGTGGAATTTCAGTTGTTTGACTGTGTTTCACAAGCAAGAATCCATCACGATATGAAGGACCAGGTGGTCCGGGGGGCCCATTTTGTCCTGGTAACCCTGGAGGACCAGACAAGCCTTCAATGCCAGGAAAGCCTGGCAGACCAGCGCTACCCTTCTCACCTGGAATGCCAGGCTGACCAGGAAAACCATCTGCACCTTTCATGCCTGGTGGGCCAGGTGGGCCTGAAAATAGGTCATATCCAACTCTAAACTTTAAAATAATTTCGGATTTAAATAAAATTAAAAGGATGAAAAAAATTACCACTTGGTCCAGGCAAACCATCCAAACCAGGCAGACCTTTCTCACCACGTATTCCTGGAACACCCATCGGCCCCATATCACCTTTTTCACCTGGATGCGTGAGAGGTTGAGCTCCCGGAGGTCCCATTGGTCCTGGTGCACCTTCTTTGCCTGGTGTTCCATCTCTTCCTGGTTGTCCAGGGCGACCGGCATCGCCTTTTAAACCTGGTGGACCGGGCAAACCAGGCTGTCCGGGTAAACCAGCCTCACCTTTTTGGCCCGGGAATCCAGGTAATCCAGGTTCGCCTAAAATATTTAAATGGAAAGAGTTCATAATCTTTTCTATAACCAATAAAAAATTCGATCATCAAGATTCACAAATGAAATTATTCATTACCTTTCATACCAAGAATACCAGGTAGACCAGGTGTGCCTTGTACTCCAGGCAATCCGCTATCGCCTTTCACGCCAGGAATCCCGGGCAACCCTGCGGGCCCTGGAGGGCCTGGCAATCCATCCGCACCACGTTTTCCAGGTACACCGGGTATTCCAGGTTCACCTTTTAAACCAGGTAAACCTGGCAAACCACTGTCTCCCTTTGTTCCGGGAGCTCCGGGATAACCGGGTTGACCAGGATCACCTTTAATGCCCGGAAGACCAGGAAATCCATCTTTTCCGGGAGGACCAGGGGCACCTGCGCTGCCTTTCGGCCCGGATATCGATTGTCCTGAAAGCACTATAATATAAAAATTTCCAGTTTCCAATATATCTTTATCTTTGATCCATAATTCAGATTTCTAACTGAATACAGTTGCTGCTATTTGCGAGTTACAATGACCTTTGTTACTATTTCATATTTTGCAATGATCGAAATAATTTATCGAATGAGATTTTATGTGCCATCGCATTCAACTATATTTTATCACCTATTCTATTTTATACTCCGCAATACTTATGTATTGTTTCATCTTATTTACGGCTACTATTTCAAATAAAATATTCTCCTCGATATTTATTATGACCACTCAGCAACGAATAGTTCCTAGGTTTTGCTAGAAAAATAAAATTTAAGAAGCAAAAGTCTCTCTTATCTTGAAAAAATAAAGAAAGAATGACCTGGTGGTCCGGGAATCCCAGGTAGACCAGCTTCTCCTTTAATTCCAGGCAAGCCTGGTAAGCCATCTCTGCCCGGTAAGCCAGGAAGTCCAGCATCGCCTTTAATTCCTGGAAAACCAGGTAAGCCATCTGGGCCAGGTAGACCAGCAATTCCTTTCATTCCGGGAAAACCCGGGGCTCCAGCGTTGCCTTTCGGTCCGATGGGTCCAGGAAGGCCGGGACTTCCTGGATAACCAGCTTCACCTTTTTCGCCTGGTAAACCATCCAATCCTCGTTCTCCTGGAAGACCTGGTAATCCTGCATTGCCTTTTTCGCCTCGAATTCCTGGAACTCCCATTTTCCCGTCGATTCCAGGCGCTCCAGGTAATCCGGGCTCGCCTGGGAATCCAGGCTCGCCCTTTTGGCCAGGATAGCCTGGCAATCCATCCTTTCCGGGGAGTCCAGGGGCACCTGGATAACCCTGTAAAATGTTGCCAATTAAAATTAAAAATGGATAATTTATTCTCTTCAAATTCCTTTGCCGCAAACACCTTCCTTATTCGATGACATTTTCTGACAGTTTTACCGAATATGTTCATTATTTTTTTCAACTTTATTCAATAATTTATTTATTAATTTTTCGTATTTTGCATATTACACTAATCTCTAATTTTTTCATATTTTATTTCATATGCATATCACATTTTATTTTATTTCCATTGAAATTGTGACTACGCCAACTATTCGAAGATTTAGTTACTATTACAGTTTTTTGCGGCAAAATAGAAAATAAAAACTTCTGGAAACTTACTGTATCGCCTTTAAGGCCTGGGAACCCTGGAGCTCCATCTAATCCCTTTTGTCCTGGCAGACCTGCTCGTCCAGGCTTTCCTGGCAAACCTGGTAGTCCTTTTTCACCAGGCAGACCAGGCGGTCCATATCCAGGTAGTCCATCTTCACCTTTCATTCCTGGCAGTCCTGGCAACCCTGGCGGTCCTAAATATGACGAACTTTACTTGAAGAAATTGAATGGACTAAATGAAAGTTAGAAAATATTATTTAGAAAATTTTAGAAAACTTTAGGAAATTTTTTAATGGAGAACCTTGAGGACCACGTAGACCTGGTTGTCCCGGCAACCCTGGTTCTCCCTTGATACCATCTCTTGCTGCTGGTCCTGGCTCACCTTTAGCACCTGGTAATCCGTTAAATCCACGGTCACCTTTTGGCCCAGGTAATCCTGGCAATCCATCTTGACCGGGCAAACCCGGTGCGCCAGGGTTGCCTTTCAGTCCTGGCAGCCCAGGTAATCCTGATTGACCATGTTCGCCCTTCAACCCTGGTTGACCGGGCAGTCCAGGAAGACCTGCATCGCCTGAAAATATTGTTGAAAATTATTTTGGAAAATCTTGCTCGTGCTGTGTAAAAAAAAAACAACAATGTGTTATTTGTTAGCGATCAACATTACTTAAGAATAACGAACCTTTTATACCGGGTACTCCGGGCAAACCTGTTTGTCCTTTTTGTCCTGGATATCCTGGTTGACCTGCTGGACCGGGAAGACCGGGTAAACCAGGCAGACCAGCATCTCCTTTCATTCCTGCGACGCCAGGCAGTCCTGGCAAACCATCTTCCCCCTTTGCACCAGGATGACCGGGAGCACCTGGTGCGCCAGGTGGTCCTTGTGGGCCATCTTTTCCTGAAATAATTCAATATGCCACTTAATTTAGATATTCACCTCATTATCTAGATTATTATTACAACTTGTTTTTTTATATGACCGGAAAAAACACGACTGATATCTCTAACTGTATAATTTTGAAACTGCGAATTAGAAACCCTTTGAAACCCTAAACTTCCCATTATTTAAATTATATAAAAATCTTCTCAAGCGCTAACGCACTCTGTTGCTACAATTCGTTAGTCAATACCCCTTATCCTATCCCTTCTTCTGTAATTAGGATTCCTTAAAATACCATAGATCATATTAAAATATTTTTATTTGAATTGATATTTTTATTTTAATAATTTATTTTTTTATTGTAAATTATAAATTTATTTAGATAGTTTTAATCTATCCAAATTAAAGCGAGTCAGCGAAAAAAGAAAAGATAGTGAGGAAATATGACCGGAATACGGCGCTATTCTTCTCCATTATCGGTTAGGCTGGCTCCAACGGCTACAAGAATAAGACGCTTCTAAGCGGAACGGTCTGATGGCATCGTCGACAGTAATAGAAGCCATTCCTTTTTCCATCGTCTAAGTCCATATATTGCTGGTTCACCTATACGTTCAAAATCTTTTCTCACTGTATCAATCCAGATCTTGATTGGCCCACCTCGCTTTTGACGCCATCCATCACACGGTTTAGCAAGTAACGAAATATGCGTCAATTCCTGTGGTGGACGACGAAGAACGTGCCCTAACCAGCGAAGGTGACGCTCTGTGATAATATAAATGCAAGTGGTATTTGAACGAAGGTGGATACGATCTTGTGAGATTTTATCCACTCGGCGAACTGGTAAAATATACCTTAGACAAGAGTGGTAAAAGGCAAATAACTTCTTAATATCTTCCACTCTCATTGGCCATGTCTCAGAACCATATAATAAGATCGAACAAATCACGGCAATATAGATGCGGATTTTCGTTTTTATAGTGATTTCACGACGATTCCACAAAGGTTTCGTCAACCGGAAGAACGCATTTCTAGTTGCCGTGATCCGACTTATAATATCATCTTTTGCCTGTCCATTTGGTATTAGAGTGGACCCAAGATATTTGAAATCATGCACTTCCTCAACCGGCAATGAATTTACAAAAAAGGCATTTTATCAGCTTCTTGCATAAGACGAAAAGACTTTCGTTTTATTTACATTGATCCTGAGTCCGATTCTTGCTGCAGTTTCTGACACGTTTATTAGCATTAATTGCAATTCGTCATAACTGCCAGCAAAAAGGACTATATCACTGGCGTATTCAAGATCTATTATACGATGCTCTGGAGTGATTTGGACACCCCTTGAGTGCCGACAAACGGTGTTCATTACCCAGTCTATCGCATAGTTGAATATTATAGAGGAAAGGACGCGGCCTTGACGGACTCCAGTTCTTATTTCGAAGGACCACATATGCACAGACCTGCGCAGACGTACGCTCATAAAATGCTTTTATGAGTCTAATGATCTTCTCTGGAACACAATCGCATTCCATCACCCTCCAAAGCGCCTTTCTATCAATTGAATCAAAGGCAGCCAAAAAGTCGATGAAACACGTGATAGTGTGCTGCAAATATCTGAAGCGATGTTCCAACACATTTCTTATGAATATCTGGTCAGCATAACCGCTCCACGTTCTGAATCCAGCTTGATTAGGGCCCATCCTTCTTCTCGTAGTTCCATAAATCTGTTGAGTAAAAGGGAAGCAAAAATTTTCGCTGAGACGTCCAGTAGGCTGATAATTGTCGCAGTATGTCCTATCACCTTTCTTAATATTTCTTTTTCTCGTACTAGAGAGTTTGTTGAAGATATGTTATGAAGGACGATGGGCAACAGATGGCGCCTAAAGAGTTCAGCCCGAAGATCATCTTCTCTCGGAGTCTTATTGGCCTTAAGCTTATGAATAACAGATATTATTTCTTTTTCTGTCGGGACTCGCAGTTGCAAGGATATGGTTCAGCGAAAACATATGGTATCAGGGGCAACAGATGGTGCTTCATGGTTAAGTTTGGCCTCAAAGAATTCTTTCCATCTTATGAGGTCCTTAATACTCTTGACTGGCACGCCATTGCTCTCCCTTATCATTTCACTGATCGTTCCCCGAACATAGTTGCTTCATGAAGAAGACGGAATAGTTTCCTATTGTCGCCGCCGTTCTTGAAGCCATGTCACTCCAATAGAGATTTCTATCACGCCTTGCTGCTTTCGTTGCAAATCTTCGAAGCATCCGGTAGTCAGAATCATCTGAAATTCGTGTTTTGGCAACCTTTTTAGGCAGTTGGACAGTTGCTTTCGATACCCAACTAGCACACTTCCTACTAGTGGAAGTGGCTAACTTTCGAAGATTCCTTTAGTTTCGACTAGTATTCATTTGCCGTTCCAGAAAAGTCATTAATATTTGTATCACTGAGATGCTTCAATATTCAGTTTGAAATGTGCTCACTGCCCCCGAATTTTTTAGTTTGAGATAGTTTAAGGTTCTTGGGGGATGCTGTTTTCTACGAGTTGTCAGTTTTATGTGGATCTTGGCTTGAACCATAACATGGTCAAATCCATGAAGATTGTCCTTTTCAGCGCCGCGGTAGGAACGACTATAGTACGGAACTCGAAATGACTATCTAATACGCTATTAAGGGAATATAACGGCAATTGATGGCATCAAGTGAATTTAATAAGAATTTAACAAGTTTAACAAATTTAATTTAATCTTAATATGGATGTGAAACCATGAGTGAGAACAGTGTAGTATTTAATGACATTTAAAGAAAGATTTTGGTGCCGTTGAGGTTTGAAGAACTGTTAAAAAGCTATAGGCCCTCAATTTTATCGTACTTGTTCATTTTGATATTCATGTTATAAAATGCTTTTGGGCATATTTAGGCACACAAAAATTGACAGGCATTTGTAATATCCTTTATAATAAAGTGCCATATTGATGGTGAATCGGTATCGCAAGACTATTTAAAGAGCTCGCATTCTATTCCGTTAAATCCAAATTTCTAAGAAACTCTATTATCTTCCCTAAAAGCAGAAGGCAGAATTGCGACTTTCACTACGCTAGCTTCAAAATTTCCTTATTTCACATTCTATTCTTAAGAGCTCTCATCAAACCACCTTGTACTACCAGGCGCTCACTTCAAGCTTTCAAGCTTTGTTACTTCGAACTTGCCGATTTTTCAGCCCCTGAAACCCCGTATTAGCCTATTAAAACCCTATTTTTTTTAAAAATTCATTCTTTAATATTTTAACTTTTTTTTCATCTAGCCATTATCACATTTTCTTAATAAGTTTAAATAAAAGGACTAACCAGGAATTCCAGGATAACCAGGTTCTCCTTTGAGTCCGGGAAATCCAGGTGCACCTGGGGCACCTGGCAATCCAGCTTCGCCTTTTAGACCAGGTGCTCCAGGTAACCCTCGTGCACCTTCTAGCCCTGGCAAACCAGGTGCTCCTGGTAATCCGTCATCTCCTTTCAAGCCTGGAAACCCAGGTGGACCAGGCGGGCCTGTAGCTATTGGTCCTGTCTCACCTTTTGGTCCAGGTAATCCAGGAAGACCTGGAAAACCTGGTTCGCCTTTCTGGCCTGGCAAACCAGGGAAGCCAGGTTGACCTGAAAATTTCAAAATTTCGTAGTAAAAATTTAAATAGAATTGAATAATTTAAATATTTTGAAAGAAACACGTAATATTTGATGCTGATTTGTCGAAGCGAACTGCGAATTTTGAAAATTCATTGCTGTGTATCAAATCCTGATCGACTTTTATTTAGTCTTCTTTTTCTTGATGACACAAAAAATGGAAGTTCTTATGGCTTTGTAAAAAAAAAATAATTTATGCAGCTCTTACCTGCGACTCCTTTTTCACCAGGTATTCCTGGTAAACCGGCATGTCCTGGTTCTCCTGGGATTCCAGCATTTCCTTTCAGTCCAGGCAAGCCTGGTAGTCCAGGTAGACCATCTTTTCCTGGCAGACCCGGCAGGCCTGGTTCACCTTTCATGCCAGGCAGACCAGGAAGTCCATCTTTGCCAGGAGGTCCTGGTCTTAGCTGGCTTTCAGGTATAGGAGGGCCCATTGGTCCCATCAGTCCTGGCGGTCCGGGAAGGCCTGGAAAGCCTGGTTCACCTTTCATACCAGGTAGTCCGGGAAGTCCTTGAAGTCCGAATCCTGGCTCTCCTTTAAGGCCCGGCAGGCCTGGTATACCATCTTTGCCTGGTCGCCCCATTAAGCCCGGGAGTCCTGGTTCGCCCTGAATGAACTTAAGAAAGTCATCTTTTTTAAATAAAGGAATAAATAGAAAGAAATTTAAGAATTTAAAAATAAATAATGAAGAAATTTTTCAAAAAAACCAACCTTAGCGCCAGGTAATCCAGGCAGGCCTGGGGGTCCTTCCAATCCGGGTTTGCCAGGTAAGCCATCTTGTCCAGGTAGACCAGGGAAACCAGGTTCACCTTTCTGTCCTGGATAGCCAGGAGGTCCAGGCCTCAGTACAAGCTGAGTTGGTTCGCCTTTTTGACCGGGAGAGCCTGGAATACCATCTTGTCCGGGTGGACCTGGTGGTCCTGGTCTACCTGGTGAACCAGGTATCCCATCGTCGCCTGGCATTCCGGGTGCTCCAGGAGTGCCAGGCAAACCACGTTCACCTTGAGGACCAGGCAGTCCAGGATATCCACTTGTTCCTTAAAAAATAAATTTTTTCATTTTGATTTCATAAGTTTTTTCTTAAAAAATTTCGTAAAAATTTTTTCTTATCTACTCTCAATATTTTTATGCTCTAATGTCGTATTTTTTTACTTCAGTACCAAGTTGTCTGAATTATTTAAATTTTACCTTTTTCTCCTTTTGCTCCAGGTGCACAAAGCGAACATGTCCCTCCTCTTTCACCCTTCTGGCCTGGCAAACCAGGCAAACCTGGTGCTCCATCTCGTCCATCATAACCTTTAGGTCCTGGAGGTCCTCGTGGCCCAGGTGGACCTGGTAGCCCATTAAGCGAATCGCCAGGTGGCCCTATTCAAATCATTTTATCGTGAGAATATTATTATGATAGTTTATGTGAGAACTAGCAGATTCAGTGATTGACCAATTAAATAAATTACCTCTTACACCTGGCACACCCATTTCTCCTTTCCTTCCTGGTAATCCATCCAAGCCTGGACGTCCATCCTTGCCAGGCAAGCCGGGGATACTCTGTCCATCCAAGCCTCGTGGTCCAGGCTCGCCTTTGGGACCAGGTGCACCTGGCAACCCTGGCGGTCCCGGTACTCCTGGTGCTCCAGGGATTCCGCTATCTCCTTAAATATTTAACATTTTTAAAATCCAGCTTTTGTTGTTGCATATTTCAATATCGATATGGCTGTACATTCTAACATCTAAATGATTGAATAAATGCGAACCTTTTTCTCCTTTTGGTCCAGGTAAACCTTCCATTCCCGGTAATCCAGGCAAACCAGGCCCGCCAGGAAGCCCTTGTGGGCCCTGTGGACCTGGTGGCCCCATAAACCCATCTGAACCCGGTGGGCCCGGTTGCCCTTCGCGTCCTGGAAGCCCTGGAGGCCCTGGTGGCCCATCGGTATATTCTCCACCCTTAAATTTTGGCATTAATTTTTGGAGAAAGAAAAGTTAATATTGAACTGCCATGGAATTACTGAAAAAATATCGTACCCCTGGTGGTCCCGGTGGTCCTCTTGCACCTTTTGAACCATCTCTGCCTGGAAAACCGGGCTCGCCCTTTTGGCCTGGCAACCCAGGCAAGCCAGGTAAGCCATCAAGCCCTCGATCGCCTTTGAACCCGGGTGGTCCTGATAAACCAGGTCTTCCTTCTTTGCCCTTAAAATTATATTCAACGTCAATAATTTTTATATATCCGCGTTTTTTCATTATGTTTTAAATGGCACTTACTCTTGGTCCAGCTGGTCCCGATAAACCTTTTTCACCTTTTATGCCTGGTAGTCCAGGTTGCCCGGGAAGTCCTGGATTTCCTGGATAACCCCGTGGTCCTGGTTCTCCGGGATCTCCCTATAATATAAACTTGCCTTAAAACCAATAAATCAATTTCCTTTCAGATTTTACAGCTCAACTACAACATGCATCTACTTTGTCCGGCGTGCAATTTAAAAAAGACTTTAAGCAAAACTTAAGCAAAAGTTCTATTCTATTCAGCATAAATTAATTGGTTTGAAAAGCATAAATATATATATTGGCTTTTAGATTATTTGGATTCAGTGAGAATTGAAGGGAAATCTATTTAGGTTGTAATGGAACAAATGAATTTTTTGAATTTTACTTGTTTTCCTTTTTTTTATAAATATTACAAATTTTTTTTTCAAACATACAAAATTTTATTTAGCTAATAAAGGGAAAAATTTATGGAAAATGAGTCTTTAAGTAGATAAACGACTTAAATCAGGGATGTGTGCCAAGAAGATTTTTGGCATTTGGTATTATAGTAGCGAAATTGGATGAATTTTTGATGGTTTTGAATGGTTAATGAAATTTTGAGGATTTTTGTCCCAAAAAAATATCTTAATATATCATGAAAATACATTTTATAGCATTAAGTTACGCTATTTTTTTCTAACAAATTCATGCAAAATGTACAAAGTGTAAAAGTAAAGAAAGAATTGTTAGCTGGAGAAATTATTTAGAAATAGTAAAGATTTGTCCAAGATACAAGGCTACAATAAATTCTCCTACGATTATTTTCTACTGAAGCAAAACAGAAAAGCGGACAAGCAAAGAAATTTCTCAGCTATCATGCCTTTAAACAAGTCGACTTCATATCACTTTTGAAAAGGATTTTACTACTTAAATAACTTTATTTAAGAAAGAAACAGGAATTGCATAGAAAAAATGAAAAATTGGTTGGCTGAAGAGGGAATTTCAGTAAACTGAGAAAGGTCCACAAAAAAATTGCCTTCGAAGTATTTTAATGAATCTTTGTATTTTGCTTTCATCATATTTAATTTTTTGTTCGTCAAGTTATGGAATATTGCATGAAATGTACTAAAAATTATGTAAAAATCAAAAATGACTTGAAAAAATGCTATTGAAATATTGACTTCTAATTTAATTTAAAAATTTGCTGAATGGCCAAGGATTAATGACCCTATCTTTTTTAAGACCTAAAATATGAAAGATTATATTAGTATTTTTAGGGAATTTTTGAAAGAAAGCTATTCAAGGTAGTGTCAATCCTTCGAATCGATCGCATTAATGAAGAAACTGTGGAAATCGACTTGATTTTTTCATTAACTAGATGATAAAAAGTATTTATGGTCCTGAATTCAGCAAACCTTCTCTCCCTTCATTCCTGGGGCGCCCTCTGGTCCAATGATAGTACCTTTTGCCCCTGTTGAGGGTACTGGGCCTGGTGGTCCCTGTGGACCACGTGGTCCTTGATCACCCTAAAACAATATATAATGACGCACCTTATTTCCTTTGTCGCCTGTCAATCCTTGCGGACCTACGATTGAGCCTGAACCGGTGAATTCGCGCGGACCCGGGGGTCCTGGTGGACCCATTTGACCAACATCACCCTGAACTTGTTTTCCACCTAACCGTATTAACATAAAGCGCAAATTTATCAAACCTTAGAATTTTATCATTTTCAACATTTTTTTATTTAATCGCAATTTTTCAGTTTTCAAAAAGAATGCAAGTCGAGATAACATAAATGGCTCGTTATTTCAGTCGATGATATAGTTTCCATTAAAAGGTATTTGGAGACAAAATTATGAATTATAGTAGAAATCGTTCATAAAGTCTTTTCTAGTGAGTCAGCAGCTGAAAAAAACAACAATTTTTAACACTTACAGGATCACCCTTAGGCCCGATGCTGCCAATTCCTGGATTCCCTGGTAAGCCAGGTTCGCCAGGAGGTCCTCTTGGTCCCTGTAATTCAAATTAGCACTTATTAGACTTTTTAATATTTGTAGTTCAATAATAATTTTTCGAATAGTAGTTCGAACTGTGCAAAGATTATGCAAAAATATTTGCAAAATGATACCGGTGCTCCAGCATCACCACGATCACCTTTTTCTCCAGGGAATCCATCTCGTCCTGGTGGCCCAGGTAGCCCAGGTATTCCTGCCATGCCTGCATCTCCCTAAAACGATTTGCGATAATAATAAAAAATTGTGGCTTTTATGTCAATAATTTTGATAATAAATACCTTTTCACCTGGCGCGCCACCATAGCCGATAGCTGGTTCACCTTTTTGACCTGGTACTCCCGGAGGCCCTGGGAAGCCAGGCATGCCTGGTGGTCCAGGTGAGCCTGGTATACCCGGTGCACCATCAGTGCCATTACAACCATCCCAACCTGGTGCTCCAGGTGGTCCTGGTTCTCCAGGCCTCCCGTTAGCTCCATCATTTCCTGGGAATCCGGGAACACCAATCATACCCTGAAAATAAATAAAATATTTCCAAGCTTTCAAGTCCGAAACTTTTAAAAATCCAATTTAAATGATTACTCGATCACCCTTCATTCCTGGTGGTCCTGGTGGTCCTTGAGCTCCTTTTTGTCCTTTAGGACCCGGCAAGCCTTCTGGACCGGGAAAGCCTCGTATGCCTTGCACACCAGGAGGTCCTTGTGGGCCTGGCATACCCTGAAACTTCGTTTTTGAAATTTTTAATAATAATAAATTTAATAAATTTAATAAATAATAATAAATTTTCTCATATTTTCGTTAATGAAATAAAAGGGCAAAAATGAAACATTCAAGAAATCATTTTCTGGATTTTATAAAACGTTAACCATCCATCTTAAGAATAAGTTGTCAAATTTTTACGGTATCTTTATGGAAATATATATTTCTGTTTTTTTTCTATATAGTTTCTTTGAAAAATTCTGCATTTAGCAAAGAAATACTGGCTGAAAGGCTCAACTCTGGAAAATAACTGCTTTTTCCGCACATTTCTCTGTTTCTCTGCTTCTTAGCAGAAAGCTTTATAGATCTCTTTAAAAAACAAGCGGTTTTCTGGATAAAAATTTATTGAAACGTACCATACTGCCCTTTTCTCCGACACAAAAACATCCTCTATTCGAGCAGTCTCTACATGTTGTTTGCTGAAAAAATTTCATCTGATCCAAGAAAAATGATCGTTGAAATGGATCAACTGATTGGATAAGTTAATATATCATTTCATCATTATGCTAAGAATCTTCGATAATCCTTGTTAATTATCATTTTTTTCTACTAATTTGCTTTACCTTTTCTTATTTGTGAATCAAAAATTATTATTGAAAACGCAGTTTATTAAGTATTAAGCCCATGCGAGATAATCCATTGATATTTTTTTCCCCTTAAAATTAAAATCCCCTTAAAATTATTTTCTCTTCGTTCATATCATAGATTTTTCTTGATAATTTTTTACTATTTTTGTAGGTCAAATTTAAATTTACAAATTTATTTAGAAGATTGAGCAGAATAATAATTATGTAAAGAAAATAATAGATATTTAAACACTTATTTAAAAAAATAAATGAATTTTTATTATATAAATTCATGATTGGTGATTCGGTGGCTCAGTGGCTCAGTGGCAAGATAAGTGTCAAGGAGGAATGAGGTTTCCGATCAAACCCGACGCAATCCGGTTCGTCAACGCTTATAGACGTTGCAAGCCAGGCGATCACTGTACACACCTTTTCTAAATATTGTATACGTCGCTAGCTTGTCGAAGATCCGTCTTCCTTATTTCGGGTCTCGAGTGATTATTAATCTTGGCTCGGAGAGGAACTCGGAGCTGCCTGTATCACTGTGGTACTTCGGATAATTCGGAGCGAAATATTAAATGATTTTCATGTGAAAAAGCTCATTCCATCTTGATTGAGTGGAAACCGGTAAGCAATAATAAGTATGGCCTATACCCGCTCTAAAATTAAATTCTTCAATTTCTCGGTGCTCCAAATGTCTAAACTCCAAATTTTCGGCCGTTTTAAGATAATCGTTTTAAGTTCTATGCATAACTTCAACTGCTAAAAAATACTCTTTACCGAAAAATAATCGTGGGCGAGTGGAATGTGCGCGTTTGTAATAATGCCGTTACGATGAACTCGGTAACTGTTAAATATGGCATTAGACCCGTGCGCTAATGGGAAACTTCTTCTTTATGTCGAAGAGTTTTTTGCCACTAATACTTGCTTCCTGCATCGTAAGAAAAATCTAATCGCGTGAAACTCACTAGATAACCAAGATTTCAAACAAATTGTTTATATGTTTATATCTTGGTCAGTCGCTGTTGGAAGAGTTCCGTGCTAGATAGTCGTTCCTATCATGGCGCTTCAGATCAGACCATGTTAAGATCTGAGCCAAGATCCGCATAAAATTGACGACTTGCAAGAAATAGCACCTCCCAAGATCTTAAAACTATCTCTAACTAAAAAATTGGGGGACAGTGAGCACATTTCAAAAATATTAAACCACCTCAATGGTATAAATATTAATAACTTTTCTGGAACGGTAAGTGAATACTGGTCTAAACTAAAGGAATATCTTCGAAAGTCAGCCACTTCCACATTATGGCACTAGTAGGAAGTGCGCTAGTAGAGTATCGGAAGCAACTGTCGAACTCTCTGAAAACGCTGTTAAAGCATGAATATCAGGAGATCGAGATTACCGGATGCTTCAAAGAATTGCAATGGTAGCAGGACGGTGAGACAGAAATCACTATTGGAGCAATATGGCACTGGAAATGGAAATGGTTAGGTAACAATAGGAAGCGCCTTCTTTATGAATCAACTTCAGGATCAGTGAAATGATAAGGAATACCAATGGCGTATTAAGAGTATTACGCATCGCTTCGATAATAAGATGGAAGAAAATCTTTGATCCTTGAGATAAGTTCAAGTTCAACTAATTTCAAGTTTTTCAAGTTTAACCATAATGCGCCGTCTGTTACTCCGAATATAGCTATTATGTTCGAACCATATGCTTATAACTACCAGCCGTCAAGACAAGAAGAAATAATCTCCATTATCCATAAGCTTAAGGTCAATAAAGCTCTGAGAAAAGATGGTCAGCGGGACGAACTCTTCAAATGCTATCCATCGTTCTTCATAACGTACCTTCAACAAATATACTTTCTGGTATGAAAGAAAGAAAAACTACCAGATAACTCGAGAAAAGCAATTATGCTCGCAATTACCAGGATGATATCAAAGCATCAGCCTACTAAATGTCTCAATGAAAATTTTCACTTCCCTTTTATTAGGTTTATGACAATATTGGATAGCAGGATGCGCCATAAGCTAGATTCAGGCCGACGCGGTTGTGCTGACCAGATATTCACGAAGAAGGTTGGAACATTACTTCAGATACTTGCAACCCACTGTCACCTGTTTCATCGATTTTGCAGCTGCCTTTGATTCAATTGATAGCGCTTTGAAGTGGATGACGGTGTTCCAGAAAAGGTTATTCGACTCAAAAAGGCATTTTATCCGCGTATGTAGGCGCAGGTCTGTGTATATGGGGAGATTTCTTCGAAATAAAAACTGGTACCCGCCAAGGTTGTGTCCATTGCCCTACAAGATTCAACTACTGAACTAAGCGATGCACTGGATAATGGACAAAGCATGTCGGCACTCAAGAGGTGTACAAATCTGTCCATAAAATTATATCACAGACCTTAAATATGATGATATATTCTTTTTGCTGTTAAATATGATGATATATTCTTTTATGTATGAAAATTATAAATAATGTAATTATTTGTAATGTAAATAATGGTAAACAATGTGTAAACAACAACTGCAGCGAAAGTCGGACTCATGATCATTACAAATAAAACGAAAGCTTTTGTGTCCTTTATACCAGAAGCCGATCTATTTATATCAATTTATATCAATTTAATTAAGAAAGTGCCAGTTTTTAAATATCTTGGATCCACTTTAATCTCAAATGGCCGAGCAAAAGACGAAATTACTCGAATAAGGGTAAATAGAAATGTTTTTTATTCTTTCGTTTCGTGAAACCTTTAAGAAGCCATTGCGAAATCATGAAAATAAAAATAGCTAAAATTAAAATAATAGCTAAATATAGCTAAAACTAAATAAAAAATAAAATTTGCTCGATCTTGCTATAGAGCTACGAGATGCAATCAATGAAAGTGGAAGAAACTATCTGTCTTTAACCACTCACCTCTAAGGTGCATTATTTTACGGGTTCGCCGAGCATAAAAAATTATATAACCGCACCCACCTTCACTCAAATATCAGTTGCATTGACAATACCATACAGAAGATCGCTCTCGCTGGTTAGGGTATCTTCAACCACAGAAGTTGGCACAGATTTCATTACTTGATAAGCCCTGCGATGGATGGCCTCAAAAGCGAGAAGGAACAATCAAGACTTGAACCGATACAGGGAAGGTTTTGGAGGAACTAGCGATATATGGACTTAGAGGATTGAAAAGGAATGGCTGTCACCGATGGACCGGAGAGCATCCTGGAGACATAACCTTATAGCCAGTCTAACCAGTAAAGATGAGAGCTTAGAAGAAGAAGAAAGGAGCTTGTCTAACCACAAATATTCAGTGCTATGCTCTTAACCCATTCATTACTACTTTTATTAACGTTTAATCGAATATTGTTATGTTTTTTTTTCAGTAATTTAAATATTTTTCTGTTGCATATTGCACTTCATATTGCCGTTGGAAAATTCATTTTTACAAAGCGCTGCGTCAAAAAAATATGAAACTAAGAAAAGTATTCCCAATCATTTTTAACGTTGTCGATGTGGATGAATCTAAAAAAACGAAAACAACAGGCCCATTCGCTTCAGCGTTTCTTGGAGATAAATGAGAATCTCGATGAATATTGCTATTCGAAAATTGCGCGCTCATTTAATTATTTAATTCGCTTAAAAATTCGAAAAAAACTAAGATAAGTTAAGAATAGAAAAAAGAGACTTGGAAACTGTTCGTTGATTAATCTTTTTTAAATAGAATAGAAAAATGAATTGCGGAAAAGCCTAAAACTCAAGAAGCATAAAAATTTCTGGAAAAAAAGAATGACTGATTGCAATGGCAATCATTTAAACAGCTGCAAGAATCCAGTGTATAAATAATTCATTAAATTTCCTTTATTTTGTGAGAATAGCGAATAAAAAAAAACTATTCCACCCGATTTTTGATAAAATGATTTCAAAAACCGTTTCCCAAAAACCGTTTCTTTAGGCAAATAACGCTAAAATTCTCTAAAAAACTTAATATCTATGATAATAATCCAGATATGTCTTCGGCTTGTTCGGATTATATTTATTTTTATTGTTGCCATCTAAATCTTGCTGAAATGGAAAATAAATCCTGCAGAATTGGATTTTAGAAGTGCTTCCGGGTTTTCAGCTGCTCTGCCAAATATCCCATCTCAGAACATATTTTTTCTATTTTTAAGGATGAAATTTATTACTACAGTTGCTAAAGCAGTCTAATAGCAGCTTTCATTTCGTTTTTTTCAGTATTTTTCAGTATCTGAGCTTTAATCAGTGATGTTTATGTCTTGCAACTAACCTATATTGTAGCAATCTATTTCGCTTCTATTCCGACATCCTACGCAATAATATAATACAATGAAATCTGAGACATCGAAAAAGTCTTTTATAAAGGTCTACATGACAGATGGTCGTTAAAGTTTACTCGATAAAACATTAATACAAAAGTCGTTTTTTTATTGATTACGTTTCCGAACATTAAAAAAATGCTCTGGAAGAGTGAATTCTGAAGGATCAGCTCGGTTTGCCTAAAAATCACTATTTTTTTCTATCATCGTTTTTTTGAATAGCAGTTTTGTTTTTTTTAAGCTTACTTAAAGGAAAAATGTTCCTTGAGATAATTTCTTATATAACTCTTGAGCCGTATCAATATTATATTTTGAACTACCTAATTTAATAAATCATACTATCTACGCCAACAAATGCCACAAATGCTAGACTTGGATCTTGAACAGCGGACAATAAAATTTGCCAAAAATGATGGAAACTTCTGGAACACCTGCAAACGAAATTATACCCACAGTGTTGGCCACGCTAACTAGATTTAATCAAATCTGGCTTTCTAAAACAATCCAAGTTGCAAATACGTCTAGGA